TGAGGGGAAAGACTGGGCCCCCCTGATAACATACACATCTCATTTGTATGGCCAATGTCCACAATAAAATTCAACACAAGCAGCTGCCAATCCAGAAGTAGAATTCTGGGTATGAACTCTATATGCACATTATTAACAGATAGCTATATAATTGACTTTTAATTGCCTTAATATTTTCTAGCCATGATCTTAATACGCATTTTTACTTTTCTTGGATTTGTGGGGTTTACTTTAGTTAATGCTGGAGAGCCCAGATGACATCTTTTGCTTCAAGTTCTGTCCGAGTGACCCTAATATCATTGCTGGAGGCTGTATCAATGGGCAGGTACTTAAGAAACTTTTTTAAAGCTATTTATTAATGTATACAACATTCTGTAATAAGCTTTCATTTGGTAGTTACTTGAACTTAAGGATTTACTTTAGCCAAAGGAAGGCATGCCAATTGTGTGCCCGTCACTCTGCCAGGAACTAGGAGGGTATAAAGATGTATTAGACATGGCATCAGCACTGGAGNGAGTGACCCTAATATCATTGCTGGAGGCTGTATCAATGGGCAGGTACTTAAGAAACTTTTTAAAAGCTATTTATTAATGTATGCAACATTCTGTAATAAGCTTTCATTTGGTAGTTACTTGAACTTAAGGATTTACTTTAGCCAAAGGAAGGCATGCCGATTGTGTGCCTGTCACTCTGCCAGGAACTAGGAGGGTATAAAGATGTATTAGACATGGCATCAGCACTGGAGGTGTTTACAGGGTGAAGAGAGGTGTATGTTAATTGAAACAAAACTTGGTCAAATCTATTTGTGTTGCTGGGATAGAACCGCATACTTTATAAGATTCCATGAAAGAACAAAAGCTACAAACATTACTACCTCTCAGAAAAGAAGCCTCTTCTGAAATTTCCCTGGGGGTAGGAGTTAGGGGATGATCCAGAATTTAAATAGAAATTCACTGGAAAACATCCATATATCATTGAATTTATGTATATATAATTTAACACCATGTTTTCTTTTTTTCTTCTTTTTTTTTTATGTTGACTAATTTATATACAATTTAGATTCTGTCCTCCAATATCCTGTTTATTTTATGATCATAGTTTAAATTCATTGTGATCCAGTGGAT